CCTATAATCCCAGCACTGGGGAGGCCGAAAACAGGAGTATCGCTCCAAGTCTGAGCTGCATCGTGAGACTATACCAAATACATAAGAAAAAACAAAAATAGGTATTTTAAGTTTTTTCCTTAAACAGAAAGTTAATACTTTTATAATTCTTTCAGCCTTAGTAGCTGAGCACTTATGTGGGGTTTTGTTTGTTTGTTTGTTTGTTTGTTTGTTTGTTTGTTTTTGCGGAGGGGGTCTCATATAGCCGAGGCTGGCCTTGAGCTGACTTTATAGCCCCATCTGGTGTCAAACTCCCAATGATCCTCCTGCCTTCTCAAGTGCTGAGATTACAGGCATCTGCCACCACTTCCAGCTTAAGCACTTATCTTGTTAGAGATTTAGATTACAAGATAAAAGTTAGGATTCTTTGGTTTAATAACTAATTACTTTTAGGCAATCCTAACAGTAGCTTTTTTTTTTTTTTAAATGTATTTGGTACAGGGTCTCACTGTGCAACTCAAACTCATAGCCATCCTCATTTGTAGCCTCCCCTGGGAGTGCTGGGATTACAGGCATGCGCTACCATGCCCAGTCTTGGTGGCCAGCTCAGCAGGGCATGTTGTGCCAGGGATCAAACCCCAGTCCCTGCACTTGTCTAAGCAGGAGCTTAGTCCACTGAGCTATCTTGCCAGCCGCGGTAGCTTTTTCTCCAATAAACAGTACAGCTCCTCACTAAAGAGTGTTAACAAGATGGAGATGACAGCTTCTTTCTAAGGTCACAAACTTCCTAAGTAAAAAAATAAGACTGACAGAACTGTTATTTCTATCAGAATTTTGATATTTTTTTTCCGACAAAGTTGAAGAGTAGATTCCTTAACTAGTTTGTAAGAATGTAAGCGAAGGGGCATAGGTTTTGGTGAGGGCTAGAGCACTTGCTGGGCACCCGTGTGGACCACGGTTCAGTCCCCTGCACTGCAGAACAAAGGGGCAAGGGATGGCGGAGCAGGATCTTTTTCTTATCGTAAGTAAAACTCAGCAAATAAAGAGGACTGAGGAAATTGCACGATGCAGTGAAAAATAAAATGCATTCTCCTGCTAGGATCCCAGAAGCAGTGAGAAAATAATATACTTTTTCAGTAGCTTTTTCACTTTTAGGACCACCAAAAGCGAAATCATTTTCTGTCTACAATTAGACTAGGAAGCCGGGTATGGTGGTGCCCAGCTATAATCCCAGCACTCAGGAGGCTGAGGCAAGAGGATCACGTGTGCTCGAGTCTAGCTACATAGTGAGACCTTAGGGCAAAAAACATAGACTAGGGCTGGGGAGATAGCTCAGCAGCTGAAGCACCTACCTGGCAAGCGCAGGGTCTTAAGTTCAGTACCCGGTACCAATCAATCAATAAATTGTAGACTACCAAAGATAACTTGGTGATAAGAGTAGAAGATGTGGGAGAGGGAAAGAAATGGTACAAGAAGCCAGAGCCCCACAGAGCAAGGCACGGGTTGGAGTGGCTTGAGGAGGAAGCACGGTGCCCTGCGCGGGGCCCCGAGCCAGCCCTGAACTTTAGCGCAGGAAATGAAATGGAGCAGTAGCGCCTCCACAGGTTCTTGTGTACTGAGGTCACTCGGAACATCCTGTAGTGTACTCTGCTATGGAAGAGTAGTACTTGTCTTCAGTATTTCTATTCAGAATCCTTTAGGCTGTAAAATAAGCTTCAAAGTAAAGGCCTCACTTTCTTTTGGGAGGGGGGGAGCTATAAGCCCAGGAAGCATATGCCACATACTTCTGGTAAAACATTCAAAGTAAAGAATTTCTACTGTGTTACACTTTTTGAGAAAGGAGTAAGGTTAAGATCTGATTATTTGTTGACAGTTCTAACATTTGAAACAGTTGAAAAAATTAGGCCTGGGCGTGGTGGTGCACACCTGTAATCCTAGTAATCGGGAGGCCGAGGCATGAGGAGCACCGTGAGCTGAGGGCCAGCCCAGGCTGTGTAGTGATTTCAAGGCCAGCCTGATGCATAGCAAGACCATTATCTCAAAAAAAAAAAAAAAAAAACAAAAAAAACATTACATGACTTTTTTTTTTTTTTTTTTTTTGCGGAACTGGGGAATTGAACTCAGGTCCTTGTGCTTGCCAGGGAAGCACTTATTCTCGTAAGCCATCTCCCCAGCCCCTAGATGACAAATTTCAGACCTAGCTTTCTCACTGGTTTTTAATTCACCAAGAAATCGCTTCATCTTAAGAACAGCCTGAGGCCCAAAGAGCACAGCACTGGTAAAGTGCCTGCATCCTCACTCCTTCGGCTCAGTAGTTCGCTCTTCCAGTTTTCAAGCACCTGAGGAGCAGGTGGCCCTGGGTCTTACTCAGGTAAAGGGATCCTAGGCAAGTATCAGCATAGTGAACAGAACGGACCAGGAGCAGGGAATGGTTGGAAAGAGCATGCTGCTCTGTGCAGAACTCGGGACAGGTAAGGAGCCAGGTGTCCCTGTCCATGAAGATGGTGACCCAGGAGTCCAGATCCACAGGCCAGAGCATAGGAAGGACCGGAGTAAATACAAGTACAAACCAGGCAGGCTGCTACACACGGTTAAAAAGAGCAATTGTAGCCCATGCAGTTTGAGGCTGCTTCACACCAAGAAAGAAGAAAGTGGTGGCTACAGAGCCAGCACGGGGAGGGTGGGCACGGACCCTGGCCCTCCGCTCCTGTCCTGCAGTAGGCAGGGTTTGGCCAGGGTCCGGGCTTGATGAGAGCAATTCCAGCCTGTGTGGACGTCTTGGCTTGCCCACTGCACATGTGTTCAAGGCTTTGCCGGGGTTTCCCAGCAATTGTTTTACATTCTTGTCATGCATTTATTGCAGGGATGGCTTAACTCTCCTTTTCCAACATTATTTCCTTGAGGAAATTTGAATTTCAAACACTTAAATGTTTTGGAACAAAAGAACTTTAAACATATGTAGTCAAGTTGTTAGATAGAAATGTCATCATTTACGTACTTAACCAAAACATGACACGAGTGTTTTTAATTTTAGAGAAGTATTTGGGAAGAGTATGTGAGTGCTAGAGATGCAAAAACAATCGCTGCCTCCATTCATGGAAAACTGGAAGTGCTCCAAAAGCAGGAAAAGAGAAGCAAGGTGAGAACACCACCTGGAACTGACTTCGCAGAAGTTACAGAAAGGCGTTTTCCTTATGTATGACCTGTGGAGTGGGGCTTGGAAAGAGAGTCCGAATGTCGTACTTTCAGAAATAATGGCTGTCAGAACACATCCTCTAGCCACTTACATGCTTACCAATTTGTACAAGTAAAGCCATTTTGCAAAAGCAGGTCAATGCAGAAAGATCTATACAGACGTTCACAGGCGCATCAGTCATCATACTAAAAAACTTCAGTTCAGGTGTCCGTCACCCAGCGAGCAAAGTGCGGTCCAGTACTGCACTGTGGGGTGTTCCTTGGCCCTAAAATGGACAAGATCCTGCCCAGGCTACAGCGTGCAGAGCCGGAAGCACATACGCTTCCTGCCGAAGGCCCCGCGTCGTGGGATGCTGTCCGCGTGAGTGGTTCAGGACAAGCTCATCCCTAATGACAGGCCACGGATTAGTGGTTCTCAAAGTGAGGTAAAAAAGAGCAGAAAGGGGCCGGGGAGATGGCTCAGTGGAATAAGCGCTTCCTTGGCAAGCGCAAGGGCCTGAGTTCGATCCTGGTTCCACAAAAAAAAAAAAAAAAAGAGCAGAAATTGGGGTACCACTAATGCGTAAAGTGTGTAAAATGTTCTAAATGTAGATTTTATGGTATTTGTACAGCTCTATTAAAAACATTCCTCTGCAGGAATTTTATGGTATGTAAAATGTAAGTTATAAAAAAAGTCATTTAAGGCCATTAAATTTTGTTCAGTATAAAGAAAGCATTAAGTTGTATACTGAATAGGGCTGACCAAGTAGCTTAGCGGATTAAAGTGCCTGCAAGCGTATGCAGGAGCCCAGGGTTTGATCCCCGGACCTGCCATGCTGGCCCTGCCCCTGGAGCGTGCTGAGATGGTAGTTGAGACTAGGCATGGTGGCGCATGCCTGTAATCCCATCTCTTGAGAGGCTGTTAACAGGAGGATCACTACAAGTCCAATCTAGTAGTGAGACCTTGAACACCCTGTAGACCCTTCTCTAAAAAATACAAGAAAAAAAAGTTGTATAGTAAATGTATTTTAAGTAACAAATACTCCTTTTTTCCTCAAATAGTAGAATGTATGTTGAAACTCATTTATCTCCCTCCTTGGATTTTTTTTATTTTTTATGTATTTGGTACAAGGTCTCACTATGCAGCTCAGACTCCTAGTGATCCTTCTGTTTTCAGCCTGCCCAGCGCTGGGATTACAGGCGCACACCACCATGCCCCATCTCGCTGGCTCAGTGCACCTGGGGGCAGAGCCACCATGGCATGGAGTGTCAGTGATCAGATCCCAGTCCCTGTGCTTGCTGAAGCAGGCACTTCATCTGCTGAACTTTCTCGCTAGCCATCTCCCTGGATTTTTAATCAGTTTGATTCTTATTCTCAGAGAAGCCCATTCATTTTATTCCTTTTTTAAATAAATCAGTGTCAACCTAGGACATACTAGTCCATGTATGAGATGGAATTTAGTACAGTCATGGTGAAGTGTCCTGGCTTCTCACCTGTGAGCCAGAGGCCTCGGGGCGGGTTAGAGAACTGGGGTCTTACAGAAGCACAGTCACATCCAGGGCAGAGCTCAGACCCTGGCAGGGGAGGCCGTACAGCTTGCTTCCTGGTCTATTCAAATTAAGTAGGGAAAGGGTAGTTATGAATATGTATTTTCCCAGTTTATTTAGCAAACATGTGTTTCATTGTTTTGGATGTATTTTTTCAAGTTATTTTAAAATTTGTGACTATTTCAAGTTAAGTATTTAAAAAAGCAGTAGTAAGCCCAAAGTATCATCCGGGTATGTGCAGCAGTACCTCAGGGCCCACCTGCATTCTTTCCACGGTTCTAGTTGCACACTAGTCACACTCCGTGGTGAGGTTCTGTGGTGAGGTGCCTTGTTTATGTGGGGAAACTTGATTCAATTTCATTTAATTTGGTTTGTGGCCAAAACCATGTAACAAATTAAGTTCCTGAATCATTGTCAACCTGTACTGTCTGGTATCTGCTGTGGGAAGGTGCAAACTAGAAGGTTTTCCTTTTCATAGTAGGCAAGGTGTGGCTCATGTGATGATCCACTACCAAGTATTAAATAAAATTTAAAAAAAAAAAATTTAGGGGCTGGCGAGATGGCTCAGTGGTCTAAAGCACCTACTTAGAACAAGCTTAGCTAAAGCACAGGGACCGCGGTTCAATCTCCCAGCACCACATGCCAGCCAGCCCCGCCCCCTGGTGGGCTGAGCTGGCCACACACACGCACACGCACACACACACACACACACACAAATAAATAAATAAAATTAAAAAAAAAAATTTTATTTGTGTGTGTGTGTGTGGTCAGCTCAGCCCACCAGGGGGCGGGGCTGGCTGGCATGTGGTGCTGGGGATTGAACCACAGTCCCTGTGCTTTGCCAAGCTTGTTCTAAGTAGGTGCTTTAGACCACTGAGCCATCTCACCAGCCCTATTAAATGTTTCTAAAAAGGTAAAATGTTGATTATTTTATATTGTGCCATATTTTAAACATTACAAAGCCAAACATCTTTGATTACCTTTCTGTATACTATTACAGGATGAACTTTGATGATATTGAAGAAAAATTGAAAAAAAAAATGTGAAATACAACATCAGACGACGACCCCTTTTAAGGATGTTAACCACATTCATGGTGGAAGCTGATGAGCACTGTCTTGTACTGACAGGAACTGCACTGCCTGAAGTCTGTACGACGCTGGTATAATGAAAAGTTTGCAGACTTCTTTGGAAAAGGACAGATCACAAATGTTTTAGGTTTTGTGGACTATATTTGTTTCTTTGTCACAACTTTGTTTTTAATGACGCTTTTAAAAAATAGAAAAACCCATTCTTAGCTCAGGGCCATCCAAAAATAGATGACAAGGCAGATTGAGTTTATAGGCCTTGATTCCTGACGCCCAGAAATGTTTTCCTGTCTGGCTCTCCCATGAGCTCATTCACTGTACTAAGTGGATTACTTTTCAGTGAAAAGATATAACTTGATTATCAAAAATACTCAAATACGGTAAAATAAATAGATACCCTACTTTCATGCTGTTTGTAGTGAAGGAATTGTCCATTTTGCTTTAAAAGTTGAAGGGGTTATCTTTTGCAATTGAGAAATTTTTCACAACTGTAAATATAAAAATCTTACAGACTACCTTATCACCCACAAAAGCCAGAGGGAGAAGAGCCCCCGGTGAGTAGACAGGCCTCTGAGTGACCCCATATAGCATGTACAGTTCTAATCTTAAAGTATGTATGAATTTATTTTCTGAAATTGCTTCCATAAAAATTTTCTCACTGATAGGTCATTTTTTGAGGCATATTTCTAATATTTACATATTTACTTTGAGTTTTCTATTTATTTACATTGATTTTTCATAGCTGTTGTTTTCTATTCCATTTTACTGTAGCTTATAATGATACTGTGGTTATTCCAGTCACTAAATGTCAGAGCCTGCCTTTTTCAGATAATTGTTGGCATAACTGAAGTTATTTTTATAAGCAAATCAAGTATATAAATCTAAAATGGGATCTTTTAGTCTCTGGGCTGTTTTCATTCAAAACATCACAAAACATTCTTTGCATTTCCACAAAACTCCGCAACCTCCAGTTGTTTAGTTATAATTTAGTGCATAGAGTGCTAAAAATTTCAACTTACCAATAGAGGTTAATGAATAAAAACACTGTGCATTTTCATTAGGTTTATGATGGATTAAATTTGAAAGTTTTATTTTTATCACTTCACCCTGCACCCCAGATTTCCTTGTAAAGATTACCGTGTAGCTGTAGTGCGTACAAACGCAAGAGCTGTGTGCGTGTTCCGTCTCCACCATTTCCTTTATGCTGACAGCTTCGAGACTCGCACTCTGCTTCCCCCCTGCGCGGAAGGGCTCCGGAGGGCCTGGCGAGGGCGCGCCGAGGGAACGCCGCCGCTCCTGCGGGCCATCTCGGCCCAGCCTCGGCTCTGCATCCCACGCACACTTCTGTCACTGAACTCCGGTGTCAGGTCACTGCCTGCACGGGCACTTCCGAGGCTGAGAACGTGTCAGGCATGGAATACTGAATACCGGTCTGTGTACTGGTAAGATCAGCCATGAGGCCGGAGACCCGCCCTGCTGATTCCTGTGGTCCCGTTTATTTACAGAGATTTAGTTTAAGAATGTGTAACAGGAGGACAGCATTTTGTTTTCTGTTTTTTGTTTTTTGGCGGAACCAGGGATTGAACTCAGACCCTTGCGCTTGCCAGGCAAGCACTTATTCTGAGCCATCTCCCCAGCCCCCAGCATTTTTTTAAGTTGAAATATTCTAACAATTTTTGCGTAACATTAGTTCATCCTTTAATGCTGCCAACAAATAAATGCCTTACATTGGACACATTCGTTCCCTCATGATTAAGAGACAATACAAAAGTTAAAGGGTCTTACTTTTCTTAAATGATAACTGCATAATAAAATAAACTCTGAAGATTAAATATTTCTAATAATATTCTACTTTATATATAAACTGGAAGTTTTTAAATACACCCAAATTCTAAGTGAATGTCTATTTTTGGTAAAAGTGATAAAATTTAGGCCAAGCCACAAAGCCCAAGTATAAAAATGTTGATTCACTGGCTTGAGTTGCGTTTCTTCTGCTTAACACCATGTTATATTTAGCTTCTCTTACTGTCATTCAGTCCCTTTGTGACTGGGAGGGTACGTGTGTGAGATCAGAGAATTATGACTGAAGGCCAAGGGCAGCCCTGTGTGGGCACTGCGTCCCGTCCATGAGCACTGTATCGAGACCACCGGATTCCTTAGTCATTTGTGTGCATTACCTAGACCCTGTGGACCTGACATAGTAATCCGCAAAGATGACCTTGTTAACCTCTACAAAAAACTAGTCCACTCACCACTAATACATCACTGCACAACTGCTCTTCTGAAGTCATTGAAACAAAGAGCAAACACCAGGCACAACAGCACAAGTAAGTGACCACAGCCACACGGGGCCTCAGGCAGGAGGGTCACAAATTTGAGCCTGGCCTTGGTAAGTTGGCGAGACCCTATCTCAAAACAAAATTTTTTAAAAGGTCAGGGATGTACCCTTACCTGGGCATAAACCTGGCTTCAAACCCTATTACCAAAGCGTGTTGGTTTTTGGTTATTTGGTACAGAGGCTAGGCTGGCACTGCATGCAGTACTGGGATCAAACCCAGATCTTTGTGCTTGCCAGGCAGACACTTAGACCACCGAACTATCTCCCCAGCCCCTCTATTGGTTTTTGGAACAAATGAAATTAGAAACTTAAAAACTTAGAAAATTCCAGTTACTAATAACTACATTACCAAACAGTGAAACACTGAAATGTGAGTCTGAAGCCAGGTACAGGTGTCTGGGTAAATCATAGGACACTGAGGCAGAGTGTACACCCTGTGCGCCCATCAGGAGCCACTGCCGAAGGAAGGAAGCAGTGTGGCGACGTCAGCGTGTGGAGGAAAATTGTGCAGAACTTCCCTTGAGGTACCAAGGAAATTACTAAAGCCATTTTCCACTGATTTTGAGTAAGTTTAGATTTAACTTTTCAAGTTTCAAATTCAGCTTTCTTTAGTTCTGTCTTTTAAATAATATGTACTTCCTACATTATAGAAATGAGAAAAATTATTTGTAAAGGTATGGCTTGTGTTATCTATTTTTCAGATTTGTAAGAATAATGTATCACTTGATTGATTACAGAAACTGAGGCCATTACTTGAAAATTAACTACTGAGATGTTTTTATACCTTAACAGTTCATTTACTCAAATCACCGAAGAACTCAACTTAGTACCAGTATATCAAGAGCTGTAGTCTTAAGTCATGGCGAGTCTTCTGGGGCTTTAATGATAGGGCCTCGGCAGCCTGCATGTCAGCGCTTTGCCGCCGCTGCTCCCCCTCACCGCGTTAGGACTTGAGAAAGTAGATTTGTACAAACTTCAATACAAAAAGAAAAGCCTATGTATTACAGAAATTAAATATATTTTAGAAATTCAACTTGGTGATGTGTATATATAAGCTCTAAAAAATTCCCTGCAAACCTGTTCAGTTTGTGACAAGTAGCAACGTCCTTGCTGTCTGCAGTATTCAAAGCCACATGGTTTCACCCACTTGTAAAGTATGGTACAGCACCTGCCTGGCGAGCTCGAGATTGTGAGTTCAGTGCCCCATACCAAAGAAAAGTAAGCTTTAAAAAAAAAAAAAAAACGATGTCTGAACTTTTAATTTGCCAGTAATTTGCGTATGATGAGAAATTTTGAATAGCAATTATAATTTCATTCTGCATCTTACAAGGTCTAACTGTCCCATCAAAATACCAATGATTTTACCTAGATAGAAAAAGTAGTCATAATGTTCTTGCAGGGCCACAAAAGATCAAGAATAGTCAAAAGAATTCCCAACCAAAAAGTTTTAAAGAGTCTTAGCTACTTTTCTCTTATTACTGAGATAAAATAGCCAGCACTCAAAGCTGAAGAGGAAAAGGCTTAACTCACAGTTTGTAGAGGTTTCAGTCCACAATTGGCCGACTCCAAGGCAGGTAGCTTGACAGAAGGGCATCACAGAGAGCAGTTCATGGTACCCACGAGATAGCAAAAGCAACAAGGATCGTAACAGCGTGTCTGCCCTTTTTGTCTTACCCGTAGGGCAGGTGGCACTCACAGCCTTCATCTTAGTGCCCTTGAGCCTAGCGCTGCACCATGAATCAATCCCTGGACACCCCCCCCCACACACACACACACACTAGATCCAGCCACTTCTAAAGCAGCCTCACCTCTGAGTGCTTGAGGCCTTGAGGGGAGTTACCTAAACACGAGCCATAACAAGAATCAACATACTACAGAGCTGTGGTACCAAAAACAGCATTATAGTGGCATAAAGACTGACACAAAGCCCGATCAGTGGAGAACTCCTGTAGGTATAGCCAACCAATTTTTAAGAAGGACACCAAAAACATACGAAAGGTCAAGCTCAATAAATAATGCTGACAAATACACATAAAGAATGAAACTAGAGGGCCGGGGAGATAGCTTAGTAGAATAAGCGCTTGTCTGGCAAGCACAAGGTCCTGAGTTCAATCCCCGGTACCACACACACACAAAAAAAAGTAGATACCTTCCTCACTGTATATAAAATGCAACTTAAAATAGGTTAAAAATCTAATCCTAAAACTAAAAAATTGCTAGAGGAAACACTTAAACATATTAAGACAGTGACTTTTTTCGAAGATAGGACTCCAAAGGTATAGGCAACAAAAGCAAAAATAGTCAAATGGAATGACATCAAGCAGGGCGGGGAGATAGCTCAGGAGAATAAGCACTTGCCTGGCAAGCACAAGGTCCTAAATTCAGTCCCCAGTACCAAAAAAAAATCAAGTTAGATTCTTATGTAGGCAAAGTAACAACCTATGGAATAGGGGGGAAGTGTTGGTGAATTAGTCAGGTGATTAATAACCAAAATATGTAAGGAACTCAAGAAACATAATCTGATTTAAAAATAAGTTAAAGATCTATATTGACACTTCATTTTTGTTTTTGATACAGGGTCTTGCTACGCAGTTCCAACTGATAGCGATACTCCTGTCTCAGCGCCCCCAACACTGGGATTATAGGCGTGCACCACCACGCCTGGTTTTGGAGCCAGCACGGCGTGTCTCCCCCACTCCACCCCGGTCCCAAGGCCATCATAGCATGCGGTAGCAGGCATCAAACTCAGGTCCATGTGCCTGGTAGGCAGGTGCATAAACCACTGAGCCATCTCCTCAGCCCTGTATTGACACTTTTCAAAAGAAGATACACAAATGGGCAACAGTGTGTAAAAAAATACCCAATCTACTAATCCCCACAGAACTGCAAATGAAAATCTCTGGAGACCATTCTGCCTGTTAGGATGACTTCATCACAAAGAAAAGAAAAACACTGGTGAAAAGAACTCTTACACACTGTTGATGCAAGTGTAAATTAGTACAGCCATTATGGATAAGAGTAAAGTTGCTCAAAAAACTAAAAGCAGGGGGGCCTGGGAGATGGCTCAGTAGAATGAGTGCTTCCTCTGAATTCAATCCCTGGTCTGGTTCTGCCAAAAAAAAAAAAAAAAAATTAAAAGCAGGGCCAGGAAGATGCGTTAAGTGCCTGCCTGGCAAGCACAAGGTCATGAGTTCAATCATTGGTACCAAAAAAAGCCTAAAAGCAGACTTTACTATGTGACATAGCAGTTCCATTACTAGGTCTGTTTCTAAAGGAGATAAGGTCATTGTACCAAAAAGACACTTGTACTCCCATGTCACTGGCACCATTCACAATAGCAAAAATAGGCAGTCGGCCTGTGTGCCCGTCAGTGACTGCATGGATAAAGGCAATGTGGCTCGGTGGAGCATTATCCAGCTTAGAACGAAGGAATGACTGCTTCCCATGTGCCGTAAGTCATGGAACTGGAGCGGAGTAAGTGAAATAAGCCAGACAGACAAACACGTCTTCACGGCACTCTCCTGCAGCAGACTGGGACAGTAACCACTGGAAAC